ATACATGGCTTCCTTGGATGGTGGGTACTGCTGGTGTACAGAAAGCCCTCAAAGATGTTATTATCTCATGTGGATTTTAGTCACTTCCTACGTATTTCAGCCACTTTCTGCGTTCCTGAGTTCCTAGTGGGAACTATGGCTACTACAGTGATTTCCAACTTCCATGGGGGATTCCACAAGTATGGAACATACAGTACATACTTACATTGGTCCAAGCAGAAAAAATTTCCATAATTAAACTTCAACTTTAGACAAGGGTGATGGTGCTCTGGATGATTTTGCTTCTTCTGTTTCTTCTCCCTGTCTTCCATTCCTCCCTTCCTTTCTGCCTTTCCTCTGGTTCCACTCTACACCTGGTCTTTCTCTTTCTCCTGTAGTAGGACTGAATTGCCTATCAGGGTTCACCTGTATGTTAATCTTCATGACCCCATACATATATCTTGCATGGCTGCATACGTGTTAAACAATCCATTCTCAACCAGGGTTCCTCTAAAGCAGTGGTAGGTAGGAGGACTGGATACAGCCTTTTGCTTGCCTTTATTCTGCCCTTGGGGCAATTTTCCTCCACTGACTACAACAATGGGCCATAATTCCTGCTACTAATATCAACAATAGGGCACTATTCCTCTCACTGACACCAATGATGGGGCACTATTCCTCCCCCTGACATCAAGGATGGGGCACTATTACTCCCACTTACACCAATTATGGGGCACTGTTCCTCCCACTGACATCAATGATGGTGCACTATTCCTCCCACTGACATCAATGATGGGGCACTATTCCTCCCACTGATAACAATTATGGGGCACTATTTATCCCACTGGTAATGATGATGGGGCATTATTCCTCCCTCTGACATCAATGATGGGGCACTATTCCTCCCACTGTTAACAATTATGGGGCACTATTCCTCTGACTTGTTCTGATGATGGGGTATTATTCCTCCCACTAACATCAATGATGGAGTACCATTTTTTCCATGAAAACCAAATGTTATTCCTTCCACTGACACCAATGATGGGGCATTATTCGTTCCACTGACGTCAATGATGGAGCACTATTCCTCCCACTGATACCAGTGATGGGGCACTATTCCTCCCACTAATACCAATGATGGAGCACTATTCCTCCCTCTCACACCAATAATGGGGCACTATTCCTCCCTCTCACACCAATAATGGGGCACTATTAATCCCACTGACATCAATGATGGGGCACTATTCCTCCCACTAATACCAAAAATGGGTCACTATTCCTCCCACTGACACCAACCATGGGGCGCTATCCTTCCCATAATACCAAAGAAGTATAGTTTACTCCTACTGATGCCAGGACAATTTCTACTCAAACTGGCCAAATCTGGCCCCCCTAAAGTCGGAAGGACAGGAAACGGACCCTTTATTTAGAAAGTTTAGAGACCCCTGCTCTAGAGCCCCGATACCCAACCTGTGACCTGAGGATTGCATGCTGCCCTTTGGTACATGATGTGTGGTGCTCATATCTCAGCAGTCTGTAGTGGGAACAATGATTTGGGAAACAGAATTGTGCTCTACTAGCCTCATGTAACAAGTTCCCAGATACCTATTGTCTTCTGCAGCTTATCCCCAGCCAAACATTTAATATGTCCACAGTCTCTGACCCTAATTTCTTCTATTAGATATGCAGTTTCTGACAGTTCTCTCAAGCATATATTGAACATTATGTGCTCCCCTTGGTGATGTCAGGGGCCACCTTGTGAGGCCCCTTTTAGCTCATAACTTAACAACCACTGCTCTAGAGGTTGCTATGGGTTCATTGAGCTGTAGCTAATTGACCTTCCATCTAATGGTGCCTTCATAGTTTCCGGTCCATTGCCACTTGTCATAACCAATAGCATGGTGCCAATCAGGGGCAGACTGACCATTTAAGCACTCGGGCACTGCCCGAGGGCCCGGGGTCAGTAGGGGGCCCCATGAGATGCCCCTGGCACCTTTCATTGGCTGTTTCATAGGCTTTTTTGGGTGTGGGCCAGGACACAGGGGCCCCATGATCCCCTATTGCCCGGGGGCCCCATGAGTTGTCAGTCCACCCCTGGTGCCAATTAAGCTGTCTCTAAGGGTGGCATTCTGACTACCAACATAAGGGGGAGTATTCATCCTACTGACCACCTCTGTAAGATGGGCATTGCCTCCCTCTGTCCACAGATGTAAGGGGCAATTTCCTAATAACCCCCAATAGACTATTAGTAAGGGGTCTCTGAGTCCTAAAAATTAGTAAGAGGTCCTCTGGCGTAAAACACTTGAGAAAAACTGGGTTTGACTGAAATTAGAAATGCTGTAGCAGAGGGTGTTTTCTGCTTTGCATGAAACTTGGTTTGTAGTTGCCCTTCCTCTGTCTCAGCCCTTAGGCTGGCTTATTCTCCGTGAATCACACCAAAATTGTTATCTTTGGTATTCTGAATTTAATAATAATTTAAACAAATGATTGAGTCTAAACAATCAACAGCCATAACATCATCCACACCACAGACTTACCTGTCCTCTCTGTCATCCTCTGGCAGATTATCTGAGAAGGTTTCCTTATCTTTGACAGACAAGATTGAGCAAATGTCTCATTTTTACCTTTTGTGTGAGTCACAGACAATGTCATTGACCTTTGTTGTAATTGTTTTTTGCATGTGTATTGGAAAGGAGGGAACATTGTCTGTACTTTGCTTTTAGAGATATTCGTATTTGTATCTTAATTCTGTGGTGTCAACTCTCTGACAATGTCAGGAGCCATACTTGAGGCCCCATATATGAAAAGGGCCACACATAATATTCAGTGAATATTATATTCATGCTACAGAAAACTATCAGAGACTGAAGATATAAACGGGAGATGGTCAAATACTACAAACCAGTTACAGGAGTTGTCGGAGACTAGGAACGTGCTATAGGATTTGTTAAGGACTGGAGACATGCTTTATGTGTTATTGGAGTCTGTGGATATGCTATAGGAGTTCTTGGAAACTGGAAACATGCTATAGGAGTTGTTAAGGACTAGGGACATGCTTTAGGTGTTATTGGAGACTGTAGACATGCTATAGGAATTGGAGACTGGGAACATGCTATAGGACAGCCATTCTCAACCAGGGTTCTATTGAACCCTTGGGTTTCTCCAGAGGTTTCCAGGGGTTCCTGATGGTCCTAGAGCTATGCAGGCCCACCAGATGAGAGGTCTAACATCACTTAGCTGCATGACACTAATGGTCTTTTTAGCTGTCTGTAAGGGTGGCATTCTAACCACCACTGTGATCTTGTGCTGAGTCTGGTCTCTAACTTTGCTTGCTGTATGCCTGATCTATGTTAGAAGCTATTGAAGCCAAAGAAGTAGCTGTTTTATTGCTTTAGTACTAGCAACAGGCACTTGTGTGCATAACCAGTGCTAAACTTATGAAAACATTAGTTGATTGGCTGTTATGAATCTTCTTCATTCTGAACCCTTGAGCAAGTTTCGAGACTGCTCTCTAACTTTGCTTGCTGCATTCTTGATAAATGTTAGAAACTATTTAAAGCCAAAGAGCTAACCATTCTATTATTTTACAATGTTGCACTCTCCTAGGTTAGTGTATGTTGGTAGGTAAATTTGGTCTAGCTCCTCTGTAATCACTGGAGCAAGGGGTTGATTATTCTGGCCTGCTCAGTGTCTCATAGGCTGCTGATCTGATTACTTCCCCCTTTATTCTAGAGTATTCTAGAATCATAGTGGGAGGAAGAACAGAGTGAACAGTCTGAATATTTATGGGGAATCCAGCCAATTCCTGGGGAGGTGTGCCCAGTATGTGGCTGGAGAGCCCATAAATAGCCTGATGCCTGAATCAGGTTGAGAGAGTTCCTGGGTCCAGTCCTGCTGGATGAGACCCCTGTTCAGGGGCACTGCACCTGTGGCAGGATCACTGGATGTGCCATCCAGAAGATATTGAGGTCCCAGCAAGGGCCTTAGCTGGGGGGGGGAATTAAATGTCTAGTCCTGGGGTCTATTTGGATCTGGAGAAGCTTACTGGAAAGTGCCAGGAGGAAGAAGGGGGAATAGTGTCCAGCTGTCCTATGGTGGAGTGAGTCTGTGTCCCCTAGTTAATTCTGGAGAAACTCACTTGAAAGTGCCAGGAGGAAGACAGGGGAATAGTGTCCAGCTGTCCTATGGTGGAGTGAGTCTGTGTCCCCTAGTTGATTCTGGAGAAGCTCACTGGAAAGTGCCAGGAGGAAGATGGGGGAATAGTGTCCAGCTGTCCTATGTGGAGTGAGTCTGTGTCCCCTAGTTAATTCTGGAGAAACTCACTTGAAAGTGCCAGGAGGAAGACAGGGGAATAGTGTCCAGCTGTCCTATAGTGGAGTGAGTCTGTGTCACCTAGTTGATTCTGGAGAAACTCACTGGAAAGTGCCAGGAGGAAGACAAGGGAATAGTGTCCAGCTGTCCTATGGTGGAGTGAGTCTGTGTCCCCTAGTTGATTCTGGAGAAGCTCACTGGAAAGTGCCAGGAGGAAGACGGGGGAATAGTGTCCAGCTGTCCTATAGTGGAGTGAGTCTGTGTCCCCTGGTTGATTTTGAAAGGAGGCAACCAATAATCCTGTGGCATTGTGAGTAGATTACCATGGTGCTGGATGTTAGTGACTACGTGTTGCCTTTGGTGTTTTGGAAACCATAGTCAACCATCAGCAGTAGAGATTCTACGGGACTTTTTGTGCAACTCAGTGAGATAGAGAAGAGTCCTCAAAGAGTCCAGTTTTCCAGTTTGGGGTATCCCATGCTCCCTTCACCCCATCCAAGTTCAATGTTCCAAAAAAACATCAAAAGAACACCCCTAGACTATTCTACTCAAACCAGTGGAAGAATGGAGAAAATGCAGTGTGCCTGCCTGTGTGCACTTTAACTGGTTAAAAAGAATCAAGTTCACCACCGGCACCTTTGGGGGTGCGCTACAAGAACTAGCAGTATCAGGGGCGGACTGACAACTCATGGGGCCCCTAGGGTCATGAGGCCCCTGTGTCCTTGCCCAAACTCAAAAAGCCTATGAAAAAGGTACCATCTCTGGGGGCCCCCTACTTACCCTGGGCCCTTGGGCAGTACCCGAGTTTCCAAATGGTCAGTCCGCCCCTGAGCAGTATGCACCTGTGTATATCGCCAATGCTGAATTTAAGAAAACATTAGTTGCTTGGCTGGTATGATCCCCTTTGAATTTGAACTCTGGAGCAACGTTTGAGATGTGTTGGGTCTGCTCTCTAAGCGTTGCATGTTGCTCAAGAGTTGCTTCATGCATGATTCCACGTCAGAGTCTATTGAAGCCAAAGAACTAACTGTCTGCTATCATGTGCAGAAGGAGGTCAGCAGTGGCAGTCCATGTATCACTTTCATGACAGGTTTCCTTTAAATCAACCGTATATTTCTGCACTAGGTCATTACAGTCACCGCCCACTGCGCATTGTACTTGATGGTGAAATTTTGCAGCGTTAACCCTTTAAGACCAGAGCGCAGAGTTCATTAATGCAGTAGGACACATACAGTGTTTATTTATATAATCATGTAGGTTGTATCTGTGTTGTGTAAGAACGAATCCACTTAAAAGTTCTTTTGACAATATCTAGAAATGTCACACGGAGCAGCGCGCTTCCGAAAGGCATGATGACATTGTTACTAAAAATCTCCGGTGCGGAATTCCCACGGCTCACATATAACTAGCTTCTCTGGGAATTCACAAAATATCACTTCTGCTTTGACAGATGGATAGCAAAACTGTTATTCGGGACCTCTGACGCTAGCTATTTCCCGCGAACGTTAGCGGTAGCTGAGAGCAAAAAAATTATTCTGTGCCCAAAATAACACATAATGGTACTGTACAATATACAAGAAAATCTCTTAAAAATCCAATACTCTGGGAGAAAATCAGCTTCTAAGTCGATCCAAACCCGAACTGGATGACAGGTCTATTTTTAAAGAAGCAAATGTGTCAAAAATTCTCTGGTGGAGAATCAGTCACTGTTATTTAACCCTTTGGCTGCCCAAGCCATTTCTTTTTTTTTTTTTTTTTTTTTTTCTTTTGCACACCTGTTAAAATGCACATTTTGGGTCTGAAGATTTATAAACCCTCGCAACATTAAAAGTGGTGTTTTAACCACTTCCAGTCCGGACACTTTTACTCCCTAGCTGTCCAGGTCAATTTTCAGCTTTCAGTGCTATCACACTTTAAATGACAATTGCGTGGTCATGCAACACTGTACCCATATGAATTTTTTTACCATTTTTTTGAGACAGATAAAGCTTTATTTTGGTGGTATTTATTCACCACTGGGTTTTTTATTTTTTTTGCTATTGCTAACAGTGGACTTTAGCCTGCTGTCTGCTGAATCTTGGCCACAGAAGTGCAGAACTTAGAGAAGGATAGGCAAATAGCTTTGACCATACTTCTCCTTTGATACAAGATGTGTCCATGACATATTGTAGATTGTTTACTCTGATTTCACTGCACACTGTGATCTCCTTCTCTGCTTTTGGTTATGTAGATTGCTTACTCTGATTTCACTGCACACTGTGATCTTCTCTGCTTTCGGTTACTACTCTTTGCTCTGCCCCTCCAGCACTCACTGTAGTGCCAGGCTGTGCAGGGTGGGAGTGACTGGCTAAGGCTCACTGAAAGGCTGAGCCAGCTGCCAATCAAGCATCTGGTTGGATCCAGACATTATTGTTGGGAACCCTGTAAAGCCTGGGCCGGCTCTGACGTCAGCTAACAGTGGACTTTAGCCTGCTGTGGGCTAAATCTTGGTCACAGGCAGGGGCGGACTGACCATTTGGAAACTTGGTACTGCCTGAGGGCCCAGGGTCAGTAGGGGGCCCCATTAGATGCCCCTGGTACCTTTTTCATAGGATTTTTTGAGTTTGGGCAAGGACACAGGGCCCCATGATCCCCTATCGCCCGGGGGCCCCATGAGTTGTCAGTCCGCCCCTGGTCAGAGGAGTGCAGAACTAAGAGAAGGATAGGCAAAGAGCTTTGACCATACTTCTCCCTTTGATACAAGATGTGTCCATGAAATATTGTAGAGCAATCTAATAAGAACACCCAAGTACTGCCTGCTCACTTTCTGCCTCTGTCTAACTGAAAACCCATATCAGAGTTTGTGACCAAAAAAAAGCAAGGCAGAAGATACGTATCCCTCCTCTCATTGACCTACTATATCTCTGTGGTGAAAAGATCTAAACAGCAAGAGATGAAATTCCACAGGCTATTCACAGCACAGCATTAAAATGACTTTGCACCAGTGGAATAACTGCAAGCTCGCCACCTCTTGTTAACATGAAAAATGTGCACAGAGTATTTCATATTAAAATAAACTGAATAACATTTGACTGTTTATTTTCTGGCCCCGAACATAACATACAGAATCAGGCAAAGAAAATGTATACCAAGCACTTTGCATTCCTAACGCATGACACCAATAATATGAAACAAGAATCATTGATTGTATTATGTCAAGGTAATATTTCTCAGCCCGCAAAGTGTTTTCTTTCCATTTAGCACTTTACAGGGTTCTTGCTATACTTGGCTCTTGTCGTGCCTTTTGTCACATCCTTGGTTAACCTGCGGCGCTATTTGCATCTCGACTACATTGTTTATTGGTGTATCTGAGCAGGAAAACCAAATAAGCCTCTGGACTTGGACGAGTCATAGAAACCAGCGAGGCGCGGATTCTCTATATATATTCATAAACTGTTCACATGGAGACCAACTCATATCTCTACAGCACGCTGATCTTTTCTTTACATTATAGAACTGTCTACACCATGCCCAACCCCCAACCCAGAGAGCCATGATATCCATCAAATGCTGATCACATATGTTATAACTGTCATCCATTCCAAAGTAGATAGAAACCCTAACTGAATAATATTTTGTTTGCTAAAGTATTGTGTGTTATAAAGTGGCTCTTCTGGAAGGGAAGACTGATGATCCATTGTCGTGGGACCAAAGGATGTGAGCAAGTGGCATGGGATACATTGGCCAGCTGATGTTCTTCCAGGGGACCCCTCACAGAAATATATAGCAGCATGCTATATTGGCAGCATGCTGACCCCTTCCAGGGGTCCCCTCATTGGGGAACGAGTCTTGGGGAAAGGGGCAGCCGATGTTCTTCCAGGGGTCCCTTCACAGAAATATATATATAGCAGCATGCTGACCCCATTAGGGAACAGAGTCTAAAGGCCAGCCGATATTCTTCCAAGGGGCCCTCACAGAAATGTATATATATAGCAGCATGCTGACCCCATTGGTGAACAGAGTCTAAAGGCCAGCCAATGTTCTTCCAGGGGCCCCCTCACAGAAATGTATATATAGCAGCATGCTGACCCCATTGGGGAACGAGTCTAAAGGACAGCCGATGTTCTTCCAGGGGCCCCCTCACAGAAATGTATTTATAGCAGCATGCTGACCCCATTTGGGAACAGAATCTAAAGGCCAGCCGATGTTCTGCAATGGGCCCCCTCACTGAAATGTGGATTTAGGGGCATGCTGGTGCCATTGGGGACAGGGCTGTGGATAAAGGGGTACCACAAATCCTCCTATGGAGGGCCCAGGCCAGCAGGGGGGCCCAGGCAGCTGGGTGAACCAGATGTGGGCAGGGATGGTGATCGACACGGCGGGGGGCAGTTACTGGAAATGATCCCCTGTGTGGCTCTCTCTACAGCAGCTGAAAGCTGGCTTCTACTCCTCTCCCTCCCACTGGCTTTCAGCTGCTGCAGAAAGAGTCATACAGGGGATCGGTCCCAGTAATTCCCCCCCCCCTTCCCGGTGCACCCATCACCCTCCCTGTGCACTACTGTATTATTTTCCCCTGCTGCCCAGGCCCCCCTTTGTGCCCTCACCCCTGCAGTGCTGACACCTCCCCACCCCCCTGACCCCCCATACCCACCAGCAGCTGCAAGCACTCAATAGGATTCTTCAGGATTGTGAGTGGGGGAAGGGTCTGGTAAATATGTCACATTTACCAGCCTCTTCCTTTCCTGAATGAACACAATGACTGGTGGCCAAGAGAGAGGAAAGTCTGGTGTGTGTGCAAGAATGAAGAACGTAAGTGAAAAATTTCTTCAGTTTGGACCCACCACCAAACAGTCTTGTTGCCACCCTTCATTAGCTGATGTCTTCGGGACCTTGGGAGGCCCTTGCCAATGAACCACACGGTGAATGTCCACATTACCAGGCAACTACATGGGCACCCAAAACATGGACTACCCCTGTCCACTTTGGGACTTATTACAATATACACATGGACTGCTGAACCATGTGCCTGTCATTCTCCTCGTACCCAAAGCAGGACCCCCCCCCCCCCCCCCCCCCACTTTACATGACCACGAATCTAGGTAAGTATTTGGGTCATTTAGCTAAGTATTGTTTTTCTTTTATTGGGGGATTAGCTAGAGGGGGTGGGAATAAAATATAATGTTCACAGGTTGCAGGAGAATGCATAGGCTAATTACTGGTTGATGAAGCCTTTTTTTTCAACTCCATACCTGCACCAAACAAAATGGTGACGCTCTGCAATCCAGCCACCAGCATCCTAGCAGCCATTGAAACACAGCCACCCAGTGTCATTGGCTACTAGGTCATTGGTGGTAAGGGCTACAGTGCCATTGGTTGCTGTGACAGCTTTCTAGCAACTGATGGCGGAGGGTGGAAAATTGGAGGGGGCTTCATTGCTAGGATGCAGGTTTCTGGGCCATACAGGGTTATTGATTGTTATGATGCAGGCGGTCACCTGCACCATAACAACTAATGATGCCGAGCAGCCCACCACCAGCGCCTAGTCACCAGTTCAGTATAACTGCCCTTTGTATACAGGGCAACATTAGTGAGCTGCAGGCAGGAGATAGACTCCAGTATGGACTTCAGCCTCAGTGCCGCTTCCTACTGAGATTGGCTTGAGCTGGTTCCCTCACTTGGCTTAATTGGAGACATACCCCTAGTGGATCCTTGGCTTGAGTTAAGCAATATCAGTCTGTTCAGAATAATTAGGGGAGGTTCAGAGTTTAGATGGATTGATCCTCCTCTCAGTAGAGACAATATAACCACATTTCTTGACCTTCAGTCCTGTGACAAGAACAGGCAGGAACATGGATAGGTAAATTCTCAAGGTGAGGTAAGTATTGTAGCTCCTCTACTATACTTTATTTATCCAACCCAACAAGATGGTTAACTTTCAGTATCTAAGTATAGGTCCACGTAGACATGAAATCAACATGGTAAATTTACACTCATGAACAAGGGTGCCGTAGGCATGTGCCT